TTTTTTAGATTTTTCTACCTGGATTATTGAGCATGCATCAGGAGAACGCAATATATTATTTATATTTTTACATTTTATTTTAACTTTATCACTATGTTTCTTCCAAGTAAGTTTTTCATCAAATATCATACCTAAAAATCTTATATCCTCAACCTGTTCGAGATTTTGACCATAATTTTTAAAGGAAATATTTTTATGTTTTTTAGAAAAGCAGATAACCTGAGATTTTGTACTTGAAAGTTTGGATTATTGAGCATGCATCAGGATATACTGTATAATACTTATCTTTTTGATGTGTTAAGTTTATCTGCAGTGCAGCCTCACTTCCTGTAAGCTTTTCTTTCACTTTTTTCCCAGCCATGTTTTCACGGTGCATTGTTTGTGTAAATCATGCGATCCTGAGGACAACGTGTTCCAGTTCTCAGACAACTACATAATCAGGTCTCTCTTGTAAATGAGTCCTCCAGGCTCAATGGGATCTACCTGTCTAAATAAAGGCTGAATGAATGAATGAACTTAGTTTCATCACTCACTTGCTGCTAGCTGAAGGCCTGTACCACTGAACCCCCCAGCAGTGGTGAGATATTTCTTAAACATGTTTCCTTTTTTTCTCATTTGTCATTTGTTGCTAAAAAACAACTTCAAAATATGATAAACACCAACATTTTGTAGCGTCTTGCAAATAAATCAAGTGCAGACGAGCTGAAACAACCACCTGTGCTTTTGGAAAAAGGCAGCTAGAACATGTCACACTGAAACTAGGTGTGTGTGTTCTGTGAGAGGGACGGTTGTGTGATTAACTAACCGTGTCTCTTATCGTGTCCACCAGGCCCTGCCACACCTGCTCTCTTCTTCTGTTTGTGATTGTTGTTGGATGTTGCTGCTGTTGAGATCAGCCAATGAAAACAATAGCAGTGCTTGGAGGAGGGATTGGGGGTTTGGCTGCAACCTACTACCTGTGCAAGAGCCCACAGGTTACCAAGGTAACATACGCACACACGCTTTAATCCTTTACATAAACTTTGTACTAAATCATCAAAACCTCCCAAGTCACAGATTTCATTCAGAGCTTCAGCGCCATAGAGACAGAGAGGTGCGACACTCTCTGAACTCGCCGATACGCGGTCACGTGGTTCATGCAGCTCTCAATAGTTTCAAACAGCTCACCACTGTCCGTCAGTTTGAGCTGCTACTAGAGCTGGGTGATATCTCAATACTTTTAACATATCAAGATCATTTTTTTGCGATATAAGTTGAGACCATCTCGATATAAAACCATATAGTTTTCTGCTTGGAAATCCTCCTGCCGTCTTCTTTCTCTCACTCGCCCCCTCCTTCTACATTCTTGAACACCAACACACAGCCCTCAGCCGCGCTCCCCCTCCCCTTCCTGCTTCTCCAGGAGGTGGGCGGGCAGGAGAGGAGACGTCAGAGTCAGAGAGAGTCAGAGTTTCTTTATTGTCATTCGCACCTCATGTGGTACATGTGGTGGAGCGAAATTATGTACACAGGGTCCCAGTTACATCCAACAATAAAATGTAAAAGAAAAACAGTAATAACATCTAAGATATGAACTAAGAAAAACATCAACTAAATATACACTAAGCACTCATAACATAAAACATTGAACATCAGCACAAACATGAACATGAGTCTATGAGCAGATGTGCACGCATGAACACATCAACATTGAAACAGATCAGCAGCAACATGAAACAGATCAGCAGCAACATGAAACAGATCAGCAGCAACATTTAGCGTTTAGCAGAAGTAGACGTTAGCAGACGTTAGCAGAAGTAAACAGAGCAGCTGACCTGTGTGTGTGTGTGTACATATATATATATATATATATACATATATATATATATATGTATATACACATATTGTTCTACACACATTGTTCTAGAATTGTGCTGCTCCAGGTGGCTGCATGTTGGAGCAGCTCTGTTACTTTCATTCAGAGATTTAGCTTTTGGAAACTTTAATTCCTCTTGTTCTGGATGTAAATCACATTTTTTTGGATGATTGTTTCCTCTGGTATCAGATGCTGTGCAGCTGGAAGGATTTTTACTGAAACTTTTTTAGTTTTGGACATTTGTTATGATGCGTAACCATGACAACAAGGCAGTTTTCTACAACCAACAGCAGCTGATTAACATCTCAAAAGCTCAAGTAATATCTCAACTACATCCCCAAATCTCAAATGAGTTGAAAGGATGTTATGTGGACGCATTCTCATCTACCTGACAGCTGTGCTCAAGTGCCTGACCACTGAGATCCTGGAGCTAGCAGGAAACATGGCTCATGACAGCTGAAGGACGGGATCATCCCTCGGCACCTACAGTTGGCTGTCCGCAGGGAGCTCAGCAGACTGCTGGAGGAGTGGTCATCGCTCTGGGAGGAGTTCTGCCCAGCATTTGGGCGGTCCTACAGCCCAGGGGAACCGAGAGGCCAGCTGAGTCTGGGTGGATGGATCGGACACCATCTGCAGCCAGTTTCTTAGGATCCACTGTGGGCTGGACCTTTATAAGAGATCCTTCCTGTCTACAGCCATCAGTATCTATAACATCTAAGAATCTAGATTCTTTAAAACATTGATTTTTTTCTGCACCCCAAGGTTGGACACTCTTCCACTCTGGAGTTGCCCCCTGGTGAGAGGAACCGAGCAGGAGTGGGCATAGTTGTTGCCACCCATCTTGGTGCCTGTACGTTGGGGTTCATCCCGGTGAACAAGAGGGTAACCTCCTTCCGCCTATGTGTGGTGGGATGGGTTCTGACTGTTGTATGTGCTTATGCGCCAAACAGCAGTTCAGATTACTCACCCTTTTTGGAGTCCTTAGAGGGGGTACTGGAGAGTGCGCCTCCTGGGGATTCCCTTGTTCTGTTGGGGGACTTCAATGCTCACGTGGGCAATGACAGTGAGACCTGGTGGGGTGTGGTAGGGAGGAACGGCCCCCCGATCTGAACTCGAGTGGTGTTCTGTTATTGGACTTCTGTGCTCGTCATGGATTATCCATAACAAACACCATGTTTAAGCATAAGGGTGTCCATATGTGCTCTTGGCACCAAGACACCCTAGGCTGCAGTTTGATGATCGACTTTGTTGTCGTCTCATCTGATCTGCGGCTGCATGTCTTGGACACTCGGGTGAAGAGAGGGGCAGAGCTGTCCACTGACCACTACCTGGTGGTGAGTTGGCTCCGATGGTGGGGGAGGATGCCGGTCAGACCTGGCAGGCCCAAACGTATTGTGAGGGTCTGCTGCGAACTTCTGGCAGAGTCTCCCATGAGACGGAGCTTTAACTCACACCTCCGGGAGAGCTTCACATTCCAGGGGAGGTGGGGGACATGGAGTCCGAGTGGGCCATGTTCTGCGCCTCTATTTTCGAGTCGGCTTATCGGAGCTGTGGCCATAATTTGTCGGTGCCTGTCACGGCGGTAACCCTCGAACCCGGTGGTGGACACCGGCGGTGAGGGATTGTGTCAGTCTGAAGAAGGAGTCCTATCGGGCCTTTTTGGCCTGTGGGACTCCCAAAGCAGCTGATTGGTATTGGCAGTCCAAGCGGCATGCAGCTCGGGTGGTCGCTGAGGCAAAAACTTGGGCGTGGGAGGAGTTCGGAGAGGCCATGGAGAATGACTTTCGTACAGCTTCGAGGCGATTCTGGTTCATCATCTGGTGTCTCAGGGGTAAGGGTGGGGGGGAGAAGCAGAACACTACCAACACTGTTTATAGTGGAGGTGGTGTGCTGCTGAACTCAACTCGGGATGTCATGGGCCGGTGGGCAGAGTACTTCAAAGACCTCCTCAATCCCACCGGCACGTCTTCCACTGAGGAAGCGGAGCCTGAGGACTTTGGGTCAGGCTCTCCAAGCTCTGGTGCTGAGGTCACCGAGGTAGTTATAAAGCTCCTCAGTTGCAGGGCCCCAGGGGTGGATGAGATTCACCCGGAGTTCCTTATGGCTCTAGATGTTGTAGGGTTGTGTTGGCTTACGTGACTCTGCAACATTGCGTGGACATCGGGGGCAGTTAACCCTGGGTTGGCAGACTGGGGTGGTGGTCTCCCTATTCAACACTTGCGCTTGTCAAGGGTGGACGTCTCCTCCTCTCCCTTTCCACTTTACTTTTGCTCTGTCTGTCTGTGAAACTGCTTTAGAGCCTCTCCTCTACAAATCTTCCGAATCAGAACTATGGACTTGAATTTGGTCAGTTTTTCCCTCAACACAATTGATAACATTTCTTTGAAGAGAAGACAGGCTTTAGGCGAGCCGATTTGTCCTGTTGCCACGCACACAGCTGATGTCTCATCGACTTTTAAGACTTGATGACGTGTCTATCTCTGCTACCATCTGTGAATTTTAAGGATGCATTTATAATTGTATTTATGATAACTGGTTCCTGCTTTTTGGATTCGGCTGGTTCCTGGTCTATCAACAAACAAGGAAGTTGTCAGCAGCAAATCTGGACCTTGTCAGGCTGCGTACCTCATATGATGGCTTGGTTTGTGCCTCGAGCACCCAGACTTTTTGCAGAATGGATCAGATCTTGGGGACTATTCTCAGGCACGTTCCATTGTTATGGACATTTAATTTAGACATCCCCCCCCCCACACTGTGTAATGTCAGTGTCATTATGTACTAGTGTGCAAGATCTTTTTTCATTATCACACTGTTGACCTGCGAACAGAGGTTACAGGCGTGATAGGATTTTTTTGTGTCTCCAAACCCTATGTGTCATTTTTCACCACTTTTTATGGTCTGTCCAAACAGGTCTCTCTTGTACATGAGTCTTCGAGGCTCAATGTGAATTATCTGTTTAAATAAAGGTTTAATGAAAAAAAAAAGGGGGGGGGGGGTACCGTAGAGTGTGTTCCAAATACAGGGGGATCACGCTCTTAAGCCTCCCTGGTCAGGTTTATTCAGGGGTTCTGGAGCGGAGGGTCCGTTGGATAGTTGAACCTCGGATTCAGGGGGAGCAGTGCGGTTTTCGTCCTGGTCGTGGAACACTGGACCAGCTCTACACCCTCAACAGGTTCCTGGAGGGTGTGTGGGACCCAACCAGTCTACATGGGCTTTATGGACTTGGAGAAGGCATTTGACCGCCTCCCTCGGGGAACCCTATGGGAGGTACTCCGGGAGTATGGGGTACCAGGCCCTTTGCTACAGGCTGTTAGGTCCCTGTATGACCGGTGTCAGAGCTTGGTCTGCATTGCCAGCAGTAAATCGGGCTCATTCCCGATGAGAGGTGGACTCCACCAAGGTTGCCCTTTGTCACCGATTCTGTTCATTTCATAATGGGCAGAATTTCTAGGCACAGCCAAGGTGTTGAGGGGATCCATTTTGGTGACCTTAGGATCACGTCTATGCTTTTTGCAGATGATGTGGTAATATTGGCTTCATTAGGTCGTGATCTGAAGCTCTCGACCTTGACCTCTATAAGTGGCTTTAAGAATCTGTTGGACTCCTGGCAAGGACCAATACAGACATGTTCCTGTTTTTAGTTTTCTACATTCTACATTCGCCTTATAATCTATCTGTTTTTGCTACTTTTTTGCCATCTTATTTTAATTTGTAAAAAAAATAATAATAATCTGTACGCCTCTTTTATAATTGTCTTTTGTTGTCAACGTTGTCCGTTGTTCTCATCATTCTTTGTTGAAATCAGGTCTCTCTTTTAAATGAGTCCTCAAGGCTCAATGGGATTAACCTGTCTAAATAAAGCTTGAATGAATGAAGGAAAAAATCTACAACTTTCACTGGAGCGGTTTGCAGCTGAGTGTGACGCGGCCGGGATCAGGATCAGTTCCTCAAAATTCCAGGCCATGGTCTTGAACCAGAAAAGGGTAGAGTGACCTCTCCGGATCGGGGAGGAGGTCCTGCCCCAAGTGGAGGAAATCAAGTATCTCGGGGGTCTTGTTCATGAATGAGGGAAACATGGAGCGTGAGATTGATAGGCGGATAGGTGCAGCGTCTGCAGTGAAGCGGGCGCTGTACAGGTCTGTCGTGGTGAAGAGAGAGCTGAGTAAAAAGGCGAAGCTCTCAATTAACCGGCCAATCTACGTTCCTACCCTCATCTATGGTCATGAGCTTTGGGTTGTGACCGAAAGAACGAGATCTCGGATACAAGCGGCCGAAATGAATTATTCTGCAGGGTGTCTGGGCTCTCCCTTAAAGATAGGGTGAGAAGCTCGATCATCCAGGAGAGACTCAGAGTATAGCCGCTGCTTCTTCACGTCGAGAGGAGCCAGTTGAGGTGGCTCGGGCATCTGGTTAGGATGCCTCCTGGATGCCTCCCTGGTGAGGTGTTCCGAGCACGTCCCACCAGAAGGAGACCCAGGGGAAGACCCAGGACATGCTGGAGGGACTATGTTTCTTGGCTGGTCTGGGAACGCCTCTGGATTCCCCCGGAGGAGCTGGACCAAGTGGCTGGGGAGAGGGAAGTCTGGGCCTCCCTACTTAAGCTGCTACCCCCACGACCCGACCCCGGTTAAGCGGAAGAAAATCGATGGATGGATGGACTTATAATGTAACATTTTGAGAATAATTCACATAACGTTTGTTTTAACATTATTCTGGCAATATAGAAGAGTCAACAACTATAGCTGACAAAGTGAGACACAGAATATATTGGATTCAAATACTTTCATAGCAGTTGTGTTTTTAAATTTTCTGTTTGTGAAACACTTAACATCACCACTTTGAGTTATGTTATAAAATATTTAAAGTATTTGAATAATTATCTGCAACAGTTTAAAATAAGGACAGACATTTATCTGTACTTTTACTTTTCTTACAGTGACTGTCAGTTATTATGGGGAAATTATACCATTGTGGCCTTTAAAGATGTAATATTACAGTGGTGAAGGAGCTGTGTAAAAATGTGGGTGTTATAAATGTTTAGCTCAGCAGTGAAAAATCATTTGCACCAGTGCTGCAAAATGTGAGACTGGAAGGTTCTTTAATAAGTGCAGTGATATAAGTGGGCGGCTGTGGCTGAGTGGTTAGAGCATTCGTCCTCCAATGCGAGAGTTGGGGGTTTGAATCCACCAGCAGTCACATGCTGAAGTCCCTGGGCAAGACACTGAACCCCTCGTAGCCTCTGATGTGTGTCCCATCAGTGTTTGAATGTGATCTAAAGCTCTGATTAGTCTCTTTAGAATGATTTGTTCCATTAGCTTTGTAGAGATCTAGTAGAGTGCTGTATGAATGGGTAAATGAGGACACAGATTGTTGTAAAACACTTTGAGTAGCTTGAAACAAGATAGAAATGCGCTATAGAAGTACAGTCCATTTACCATAAGTGCAGGGTTCACTGCACTTGTATCATTTTAAGACTGATAAGGACCAGATTTGGTTCTGAGTCGCAATTCTCAAATCATGCTCTAATTTTTATTCACATTAAAGTGTTTTGGGGGAATTTATTGACTGATCATTTTTTGTCCAGCTTTAAATGTGAACAGCTGAAGTTAAAGAACACAGTGTGCTTCGTACACACAATAAAAACCCCAATTTCATGTTGTTGTTTTTTTAACTGTATTTACTTATAAATATTACTGGAAAGCAGATTTTTTTTGGAGTAATCAATCAAATCTTTAAAACAGGTGATTGTCTTGGAGTCCACCAGTCGTTTTGGAGGTTGGCTGTGGTCTTCACGGAGGTCAGATGGGGCAGTATTTGAACATGGACCAAGGGGGATTCGACCTGTTGGACCAGTTGGACACAACACCCTCAATATGGTCAGTTCCACAAACGTTCTTCTGTTGGAATCCTGGGTATATTTTCTGTTCTCAACTCATTTACAAAGCATAGTTGTATGACTACCCATTATGAAAATGAAGTGTGAAGGCAAAGAAAGGTACAAGAATAAAATACGTCATTGGTGGTTGGATCTTAAAGTAGCAAATAAACAGTAGTGCAAATTGTGTAGATTTGATGCATGTCTGACAAAGGTATTGGGGTTTAAATAGGTAAATAGAACAGTTTGTATTGTTAGAAACAAATTTCAGATTTCAATTTTCAAAAACTTATAATGCAGCTTTAGGACTGATACCCAGCCATTTTCACACCTATCAGGAATTTCAGCCATGTGACCAGAGTGGCTCCTCTGGGTCTCAGACTATTGCCCCTTTTCCACTGTCACGGCGCGGGTCGGATATTTCCGGCTTGACGTGCGTTTGAGGTCTTTCCACTGTTCCTGTGACCGGCTCGCCTCCCTAAATTCTGGCCCGGCTTCTCAAGGGGTCCGAGCGAGCCGCGCCGTGACGTCAGAAACACTGTCGGTCAATGGTTGGTCGGGGGGAGGGGTCTGTGGAGTCTTTCCAAACAACCCGATCCACCATTTTTTCTCTCCTGCTTGCCATTAGCGATAACTGGAGAAGCGTATCTTTTAGTATTTTGAAGCTACACAACAACAATAATGTCAAAGCCGTGGTCCAATGTAGAAGTGCAGGTGTTGTTGTGCTTGGTGGCCGACGAAAAAAGTCAAAGCGAGCTAGATGGAGGATTGGAGGGTGGTTTGGACACGACTACTGCTCTACTTGAACCATTTATAGAAGATGGTGAGTGTTTTCTAACTTTACTCATCCCATCGGTTCTGAACATATTTTTAACTAACAAAAGAGGCTGACGCCATAATAGGACAACGTCGTTGCTACGATGCTAAGCTAATTTGCATAAATGCTAACTGTCCTCCGGTCCCGTTTCTCACTGTATTTTATCCAGAACGTATTTCAGCGCGTGATGGTTCATCTCTAAACTCCACATTAAACCCTCCAAGCCTCCCGGCTCCTGCTCCATCAGAGGAGTCTGCACCTGACAGAGCTCCATCACAGCCCAGCTGCACCTCACAGAGCAGCACAACGCTGCAGCTTCTGTGCTCGGTAAGAACAGATGCAACATGTTCCACATCACTTTATTTGTGCCGATAAGGACTTGATTTATTTTATTTTTAAAGTAAAAAACTAAAATGTTGAATAAATACTGAATTGGGATGAAATTATGTACACAGGGTCCCAGTTACAGAAAACAAAATGTAAAAGAAAAACAGTAATAAGATCTAAGATATGAATTAAGAAAAATATCAACTAAAAAAACATCTACTAATAAAACACTAAGCACTAATAGCAGTAAACAATCAAAACAATACGTCAAACAGCAACATGAACTAGAGTTTGTGCAGCCTCATGAATATCTATGGTGACAGGACCTTCTCTGTAGCAGGACCAAGACTCTGGAATGAGTTACCTCTGCTTGTCAGACAGGCCCCTCCCTCTCAGTTTTCAAGTCCTGTTTAAAAACCCACTACTATTCAGTAGCTTTCAACACCAGAGGACCTGTGTTTTGAACCTGTATGCTCCACACTGGTTTGTCGTCATTATCTGCATCGGTTTTTGTCTATATTCTGATTTACCTCATTTTGTATTTTGCTTTGT